GCTAGGTAATTTTAAAATTCATTAAGACAGTTCCCACAGTTGTATAAAGAGGGTTTATTGTACATGTGGAGCTGAAGGAGGAAAGAGAAGGAAGGTATATATTATATATATATGTACAGTGAGCCATTTTCATTAATAAATTTATTCTGTCTTGCTTAATACTGGAAAGAGGGAATGTGTCTGGCACGAAAGAAATTTAAAATTGAAAAAATTTAAAAGCTCAAGTTCTGAAAATTATAAAAACCGTGGTCTCATGGAAGGAAGTTAAAACTTATATACATGGCAATTTCAGTGGTTTATACACTTGGGTGACACAGTTGCATTTGTCTTCTAAACCAACTTATGGATTTTTTATTCGTAGAACTGGCATTAAAACTATTTAAAAGCTAGGATATAAATAAAACTCGGAGGGGCTGCTCCAGGCACAGCCCAGTAAAGCAACTCACAGTAACTCAGTAGACGTAATCAAGAACGCAGTTCCCCTCGAGGATGGGGGAAGGAGGCACTGGCTGGGAAGGAGTCCGAGTCCTGGTGGTGCAGCTTCGCTTCAAGTCCGTCTCTCGTTACTGCTGTGCCATACCCAATACCTTTTAAAAGAGACCCCCGATTTTGCTGAAAGGCGTCGGAACTGTTACGTTGTCTTTCGGAATCCCTTTAAAATAGGATAGATGTTTTCAAACGCTTCATAGATTTCTGCTCGTACTTTCGCACCTAGGAAAAGGGAGGCGATTAAGTTAGTGTATACCTTTCACCAAATACTTAATTTTAGCTTTTAGAATGTTTATTTGAATGCGACTCTATAGAAAACCTACGCATGTCCATAAACACCTATTTTTACTATCTTTTAATACACATTTCATATAAAGCATATGTTATTGGCCTTCAGCTTATCCTGCTAACTGGTAAAACTTTCCTCAGTATCCTCGTGTTTATGCTCTACTTGCAAACAGCACTTTTCTACGCACCATTTCCACAGGAGACCCAACGCAAAGCACAGCCCTGTAGGGCGTTTCCGCCCAAAGGCCTAACTGGGGGAGCTGGTTTTGAGCGTGAACGTCTGGCGATGGAGACCGCTGGCGGGCCGACGGCGTGCCGCGCTGCGGGGACACGGCTCCGCCTTCC